CGTCCAGCCCTGCGCCAGCGTGGGGTCCGCCGCACGGGTGCCGGGTCTCCTCCCCCCGGGTGTGGCCGGGCCGCGACCCTGCCTTTGCGCAGACAGGAGGCCCCATGGCTCGGGCCCTCTGGGCTCAGGCAGCACGGCCCGCAGGTGCCCTTGTGTCCGGGCACGGGGTCCCGCTCTCCTCCTGCTGCGACTGGGGCCTCGCGCGTCCTGTCGCTTATCTGAAAATGGGCCCTGTGGTCTGCCGGCCGCACGTGGAGTAAAACCCACAGAATGAAACCTGTGGAGTGTCAGCCTGTCGTCAGCATTGTCGCCAGGGCGACTCCTTTGCTCCCGTCCTTTTCCTGTGTCAGGAGCAGGTTCTCCCTGTGGGGCTGGGACGCTGCCACGGCCGTTGGCCCCCGGAATCCTTCTAGAGCCCGGGCGGCCCAGATTCCGCCGGCTTCCCCTCCCCCTCATTTCTCCTGCACCGTCTCCCTCCGCCAGCCTCCCCCCTCTGCCTCCTCCTGGCCTCCCCGGCCCCACTGAGGGCTGTGCTTTGTCCCCACCTTCCCCAGCCACCTCTGTGGCTCCCAGGTGGGTCACCTCTCTTGGCACCGCTCTGCTCCGCATGGCCAGCCTCTCGCAACTCGCTGCTTGCCCGGCAGCCTTAGAAGTAAACCCAAAGCTGTTGTTTTTCCCTCAGGGGTTTTCTTATTGTAAACATTTCTCTCCTAGGTCCTTCTTTGCTTTTTGCCTCTGGGGGAAGGACTGGAGGACACGAAAGGCACGAAGGAGGGATCTGTGCCTGCTCATCTTAACCATTTGTTTGTCCTCCAAAGGCTGGTTCTTAAGCCAGCAGAGGAGGAAGCCGCAGGGCTGGGGGGTGGGGCCCCCAGGAGAGGGGCCAGTCCACCGATGGTTCTGGAAGGCCTGGAAGGCCGGTGCCCGTCTGTGGTCTCATGATGCCGGGGGCGTGAGCAGAGCAGCCACGGTGTTGACTTTCTGCCCTTTGCTTTCTTAGGATATGCGACGGTGTGCAGTTTGGTGCCGGGATCAGGTTCCTGTAAGCTGACCGCGTCCTCTAGACCCCGCAGGAGAAGCCCTGGGACTCGGTGGCAGTGAGTCACTTTCCGAGCAGACGCGTCGAGCCACTCTTTGCCATCCTTGTGGGAAAGCACGTCAATAAATTTTAAAGACGAATACTCAGCGGCATCGTGGACGTGATTTGCTTTCCCAACCTCTGTGTCCCACGCTGGCTTTTCCCAAGGACCACGTGGAGGGGACAGGGCGTTTAAAATGGCCATGCATTCTTCCACGGGGACCGCCCCCACGGAAGGTCCCGTCAGACAGCCTCCTGATTGCTTTCCCTCGCAGGCTCCCCGAGCCTCCGTGTCTGGTTCCCTTATCCCGGAAAGTACTGGGCAGAGCCCCAGGGACGCCCGGGCTGCTGGCGGAGGGCGTGTGGGTGGGGTGCGGGGGATGCCGAGGGGGGACCCTCTGGTGGCCGCTGCAGTCACAGTTCTGGGTGTCGGAGCCCTTTAAGCGCATGTGGGTGGCGTGGAAGAATCACGTGTAACGCTGGGGACACCGAGGCAGAGGGGGAAAATGTGTTCTTTAGGGGTGATAGTGTCAGTGAGACAAGTCTACCAGCTCCCGGAGCTGCTCTAACGAGTTACCGCAAACACAACACAGCCACCGGAGGTCGGAATTGCTGAACGGGCCTGATGAGACCAGTGTTGGCCTGACTGCGTTCCTTCTGGAGGCTCCAGGGGAGAGTCCGCTTCCTGGACTTCTGGCCTCCTCGGCTGATGGCCGTGTCCTGTGCTTTCAAAGCTCACCACCCAGCATCTGCCCGCGTCCCCCTGCCGCTTGCCTTCTGGTGCTTTCTCAGACCCTCGTGAGCACGTTGGGCCCCTCTGGACAGCCCGGCTGCTCTCTTCATGTAAGATCAGCCAGCTCGGGTCTGTCTGTGACCTGAATTCCCCCTGGCCGTGTTCTGGGACAGTCACAGGTTCCCGGGATGAGAACACAGGCATCTTTGGGGGCCCTTATTCTTCTGAACACACCTCGTGTCTGTCAAAGTCACATTTCCAAGATATACATGGTTGGTCACGTGAAAAAAAAAAAGTGTTTTTGAGAGTTAAACCTCTCTGAATTCTCCCTGTGGAAGAAATGTCGGGGCTGGAGACGGTGCCCGGTAGCATTTTACTCTCTCTCGCAGCTGGGGCTGAGTTCGTTCACTTCCAGGCCTCCCTGTGATTTGTTTGTGTCTTTGCCCAGTGAGCTTGGCTGTCGGGAGCAGCTTGGGACCACGGCCCTCGAGCCCCCCCAAGCACAGTCTCCCCTCCCCCTGCCCTGCCATTGCCTGTGTGGCCTACAGGGATGGTGCAGAGAAGATGTAAGAAGCGTAACAGTTGGACCGTTCTGATTAGTTGGGAACGTGGGGAAATACAATGGGGAAATACACATTTTCCCCTGAGTTGTTTTATCATTTACAGTCTCGCATTTATGCCTTTGGCAAAGTAAGAGGCCCTTGTTACAACACTGCCACGTTCAGACTGTAAATTAAGAACAGAAAGACCCGAGTATTTCTCTCAGACACCGCGACCTTTGAGAATCCGTCTACTACGCCACCGGAGAACTGGAAGGAGAAGTCCTTTTTGAAAGGGTACGTGTCTCATCAAGCCCTGCCCGGGTCACTGGCACCAGCTCCTCCATTAAAGCGCACCCACCGGGGGGCGCCTGGGTGGCGCAGTCGGTTAAGCGTCCGACTTCAGCCAGGTCACGATCTCGCGGTCCGTGAGTTCGAGCCCCGCGTCAGGCTCTGGGCTGATGGCTCGGAGCCTGGAGCCTGTTTCCGATTCTGTGTCTCCCTCTCTCTCTGCCCCTCCCCCGTTCATGCTCTGTCTCTCTCTGTCCCAAAAAAAAAAAAAAAAAACAAAAAACGTTGGAAAGCGCACCCACCGGGTCCAGCCGCCCCAGTGCGCTCAGGGCGCGTGCCATTTGCCAACGAGTGGCCCGGCGGCCGCTTGGCAAGCAGATGTGAAAACGGTGGCGGGTGGAAATCAGACATCCGCTCGTTCTCAGGCGGAATCGGGTGGGCAGGCTGGAGCCGCACTTCACACGGCGCTCCCCGTGGAAGACCAGAAGCCAGGCGAGTTTCGTCGTGGAAAGTCATCTCCCATCACTGCTGTCTGAGGGCATCACATGTGACGGGAAGGAAACCCGAAGAGCTAACCGATCCCTCCGCAGAGTACCACCCGGCCTCCGTGAAGCTTCGCATCCTCAGTGTACTCCCCCCATTTTTCTGTAAGTCCCTGCGTGTTCGGGGCTGGAAGAGAGCTGGATGTTTGTTTCCTTAACCGCCGGCTCCAGGCTGCGGCGAGTGGGCCACGAAGGCCGCTTCTCTGTTCTGACCGGGACGCCGCCCCGTCCCGCGCCGGGCCGCTCGGCTGTCGCTCGTAACGAGGAGACGAAATCAGTGAGCCCGTTCTTCCTGGGAGGCAAGCCCCTCGTGACGGCTGGCGTCCTCTGTCACCGCGGACGTGTGGTCTCTGCACCACTCGAGTGACCTTTCCACGCGGCTTCAGCAGCAGCGTGCTCACCCAGCGGTGCCCGTCACGTCTGCCGGTCCGATGACCCAGCCGGGAGCAAGTGCCACAGTTACCGGAACAGGGGACGGTCCAGTCGGCCACACCGAGACGATCTGCCCCTGGCGTTACCGGGTCACCTTCCCCCCGTGCCGGCTCCTACAGGGGCCCTGCCCTCCCCATACGTGCATCTTCCTAAGCTAAGCATCCTCTTCCTTTGTGGATTTCCTTTTTCTTTTTGAAGACCAGATAAACTAACCTTTGGGACAGTTAGATGTGTTCAGGCACACCGTATGGGTAAACATCTGCAAGGGAGAGGATGCCTCAGTCTAGGGAACCAGAACCAGAGAAGTGCATTCTAAGTGAAGTGTTTAAACTCCGGCATCTGCACTCAAAATTCAGATCTCTAGCTTCTCGTGAAAAACTGGGTCTGACGCCGAGAAGCCTTCCTTCCGAGAGCAGCAGAGGGCTGGGGCTGGGAGGTGGTGTTCCTGTAGCCTGCGGCCGCCCCGCCGGCTTCTCTGCACTTCCTGCCTTTGGCTCGTCAGAAGGGGCAGCGTGTTTGGGGAGGAGGCAAGTTTCCGGGGGGGAAACTGTCGGGGTGGAACAGCCCTGGGTCAGGAGCCTGGCTCTCGCCCTGTGGGCTGTTCACCGAATCCCCATCTGGCCTCCGGGCCTTGGGTTGTCTTCTGTCAAGGAGAGGATTTTTTGGTTTGGCACCTTTCGGCGATGGCTTGCACGGCCCTGGATGGCTGCCTGCCGCCTGTGGGTTTTCCAAGGCTTTCTGCCCCCAAAGAAACGCTGGCTGATGCATAACGCTGTTGACTGTTTCGCCTGGTTTTGAGCATTCGGTGCAGGGGGTGAGGAGTCGGCACCTGGTTGGGATTCAGACCGGACGCCATCCCCAGCTCTGCCACTGGCTGGATAAGGCACTTGCGGCACGGGTTAGGACACTCCCAGAAGTCTCTGAGGCTGTCAGTTCCTGTTCCCAAATGGGAGCGTGGCCGATGATCTCCACAGTGTAACCACTTGAAGCTCGCTCCCGGCACCCAGCACGGGAGCCCCGGGAACAGTAAATAGATTCCTTTTTTTTTTTTTTTCTTTTTTTTTTTTTTTTTAATCTTTTAACTGATCTTATCAGACGATTGTTAAACATAACAGCAATTCTCAAACGTTTTGGTCTCAGGACCCCTTCACATTGTCAAAAATTGTGGAGAACCCCCAAAAAGCTTTGGTTTATGTGGGTTCATGCTAACCCTTACCATATGGGGTATGAAGACTGAGAAGTAAAAAAAAAAAAAATGTTAATGTTTATTTATTTTTGAGAGAGAGAGAGAGAGCAAGAGAGAGAGACAGAGCATGAGCGAGGGAAGGGCAGAGAGACAGGAAGACAGACCCGGAAGCAGGCTCCAGGCTGTGAGCTGTCAGCACAGAGCCCGGTGCGGGACTCAGACTCATGAACCACGAGATCGTGACCTGAGCCGAAGTCAGACACTCAACCGACTGAGCCACCCAGGCGCCCAAGACCCAGAAAATATGCAGATCTTCCAAATAGTGGTCCAGTCATGATCGTGTAAGATAAAAAGATCACGGTTGGTAATGCCATCACCGATTTCATCAGGAGAATCCTTAAGCTGCCCAAGTTCGTGGGGGCGGGTACAAGTTCCCCCAGAGTCCAGTTTTTGCCCGGAAGCTCACATTTTATCACTGACGGTGAATACTTGTCAGTCGCTTTCCTTGAGGCTCACTTCATTTTCAAGGAAACGTCGACCAAATACCCAAGTCTGAATAACCAGTTGGTCACCCCTCCAAGCACAAACGATCGACGCTCCATGACAAGGGTGGCTGGTTCTCTCTGAAGCCCCACCACGTAGCGTTTTCCTGGAGCAGACGTGCCTCCGTGCGCAAGCTCGCCGCGTGTCGTCACACAGAATGTTAAAGCGGCCGAGATTTAAGGGGATTGGGCATTTCTGCTTCCCTGAGGCCATCGCTCAGCGAGTCTGGCCTCCCGGCTTTGCCCGGCGCGTGCGGGGGAGAGCGCGGTGACCGAGGGAGGCGAGGACTCGGGCACTGGCACTCCCACCTGCCGCACGGTGCAAAGCAGGGAGTACAGATGTCATTGTGAGCCAGATCCCTAAATAACGTCTGGGTCTTATAACAACGGTTTTGACCTCACAGACCCCGTGAAAGTTTCAGGGGCCCGGGGACCACACGCCGCCGAGAACCGCTGATCTCTCCTCATCATCTCCCTGCCCTCAGGTCGCTCTTCTGGAGGAACGTGTGTGTAGCAGGAAGTGCATATAAAGGGCCTGGCGCACCAGAGCCCCGGTTGGGGGCGGAGTGGGTATGGGGGCGGGGGCTGGGGTACGAGGGGTGCAGGAGCGCAGTCTGCATCGGTGCACGTGGGCTCTGCCTTGGCTGGTAGATGTGATCCAGAGGACGGCGTTAGCAGGCAGAAAGTGGGGTCTCTTCTGCAATGGTATCGCCTGGAAGGGAGGGAGAGAGAAAATACAACGGCATACACTTGGAATGAAACGGACGCGTCTTACGTTCCCACTTAGTCGCGTTTGAGACGGGAGCTGTGGGACGCCGTCTCAGCACTGCTTTGCTGGGGTCAAACCGGCTGCCCTGGTTTTAAAAATGAACAAGGCTTTGCTAGAGTGGGGCTTACGGTCATCTCGGACATCTTGCCCCCGCGCCTGGGTTGTGACTTTCCACGTGGCGTTTTTGTGACGAGTAAAATCACCAGATTCCTTTGCCAAATCATCAGACGCCTCGTGAGAACAAAGAACGCTCATACAGAAGGAGATGCACTATTATCTTGCTGGGAAAATAAATACTTTTTGAAAAGAACACATTCTGTGACTTTGGACAAACTGAAAATTACAGCCTCTCTCTCCCGTTTTTTTTTTTTTTTTCCTTTCCTCCTTTTCCTTTTCAATCAATTCATTTCTAATGGAGGAAGCATTTCCTACATTTGTCACTAGATAGATGTGCTGGTCAATTAAAATACTCTGACTTCAGACGGTTGAGATAATAGCAAGCCTGGATCCATCCATCACTGTGAAATAGAAGGTGACCTCCCCGTATGGAGTGAGAGACCCAAGTACAATTGCTTCGATCTTATTATACCCAGAAATTACTGCTCATCTAAGTGTAATTTCCCTGAAATACGAAGCAGGCAGAGGCACTGCTAGAAATGTTAGAGCATAATAAAGAGGCTGTGGTATGGCCTTGACGCTGAACACGGAGGGATGGAAATTGACACGCCGTCCTCACTGGGAGGAAGTGCTGAGGTCAGCGGGGTGGCGTTTCCCCAGATGTTACCGCAGGTTTCGTAGGATTCCTCGGGCAGCTTTACCCCAGACACGTTTGCTCACCAGGCGCCGAGAGAAAGAACTACCCCGGGGCGGTTTGGCGGGGGTGGGGGGGGGGGGGGGGCTCCCCAATCCGGGCAGCCCCCGGCCCCCCCCCCCCAGGGCCCCTGCCTGTCTGCACGCTGCCTCCTGCCATCTCCTCCTGGCGCAGGGGGAAAGGAAACAGGCCCGGGGTGGAAAAGCACCATTTGGGAGTCGGAGCCGTCTCGAATTGTCACTCCTGCCACTCCCGTTGTTCGTCTGCTCGTTCATTCCACACACGCGTGCTAGGGCTGGGCCGGGGCCAGGGGCGAGGGCCAGGGCAGGTGCCTCCAACACAGACGGATTCGTTCTGGTTCTCGGGAAACACGCGGTCCTTATCAGGGTCTGTGTGGATGTCACCCTGTCGTCAGAGAAAATAAGTATGTAAGTTTCCCCTTTTTCTGGGCTTGAGTAACGGAAAAAACAAAAAGCCAATCAAGCTAGATATTTACGCAGGCGACCTGGTGGCAGAGCCGAAGGCACACAAAAGGGGAAATGGATCAAGTGTCCCTGGCGCCCCCTGCCGGCCGCGGTTCCCCGGGCGCCTGAACGGGTTCCGGTTTGCCGCGGGCCTGTAGTTTCCCGGGCGCCCCCTGCCGGCTGCGGTGCCCGGGTGCAGGAGCTGGGTCGGGTTTGCTGCGGGCGGGGCGACCCCCCCGCCCCCCTCCGGCCTGACCTTGCACGAGGCGACGAGGCGGCCCTTCCACGGTCCGCCTCCGTTTCCCTGCCGTGAGCCTACACTGCCCCTGTCTTCTGACTAAGCCAGCAGCAAAAGGGTTAATTCTGAAGTGAATTTTAAGGAAGGTTAGGAACCATTGGTCCAAAAGGATTCTAAAAATAGATGACTGATTTCCAAAGCATCTTGGGGTGCTGCATCTTGTTCATAACACATTCCCCAGCCGACCCCCTTAGGCGCTTTGAAAATTCTAGAAATCTTTATTTTGCAGTAAAGGTGGGGAAAACGCAAGAGCTCTGTGAAAATCAATGATGGTATTTTTTTGAATACACTCTCCATTTTGTAGTTTTAGATTTACAGACAAATTCTGAAAATGGTGCTGAGTTCCCATATACCCCACACCCAGCTTCCAGTATGAATGTCTTACGTTAGTCTGAGTGCATTTTGTTACAATTAACAGACCAATATTCATACATTATTATTAACCAAAGTCTGTACTCGCATTTCCTGTTTCCACCGGACTTCCTGATTTGGCCCAGCGACCCCATCCAAGATCCCACGTTACACTGAGTCACCCTGTCTCCTGAGGCCCCTCCTGGCTGTGACAGTATCCCTGACGTTCCTTGTTTTTGACGACCTTGACGTTTTTGAGGAACTCTGGGCAAGTATTCCGTAGACTGTCCCTCAATTGGACTTGGTGGTGCTTTTCTCCCAAAAACACGAGAACGCCTGTGGAGTTACGGGGTTGGGGAGGAAGACCGCAGAGGTAAAGTCCCCTTCCCATCATGCTTCAGGGCATGTGCCACCCACACGACCCACCTTCATCACCTGGCTGAGGTGTGTCTGTCGGGCAGGTTTCATAAGAAATATTGGTTTAAAAGGAAAACTCGGGGTCCCCTGGGTGGCTCAGTTGGTTAAGCGTCAGTCAGACTCTTGACTTTGGCTCGGGCTGTGATCTCACGGTCCGTGGATTCGACCCCCACGTTGGGCTCCACATTGACAGCTCAGAGTCTGCTTGGGATCCTGTGTGTCCCTTTCTCTCAAAGTAAATAAATAAAAAACTAACTACATAAATAAAAAGAAAACTTGGATGAAATAGGGAAGGTGTATATTTCTGGTGATTTAAGTCCCAATCCCATTTTTTTTTTTTTAATGTTTAGTTTTGAGAGAGAGAGAGAGAGAGACAGAGAGACAGAGAGTAAGCAGGGGAGGGGCAGAGAGAGGGAGACGCAGAATCCGAAGCAGGCTCCAGGCTCCGAGCTGTCAGCACAGACCCCGACGAGGGGCTGGAACCCACGACCCGTGAGATCATGACCTGAGCCAAAGACAGACGCTCAACTGACCGAGCCACCCTGGCGCCCCCAAGTCCAATCCCGTCTTGATGCTCATCCCGAGATGTAAACGTTAAAATCTGGAGTTTGCATTCTTTGCTAATGGAACGGAAATGCAGAGGCAGCCTAGGAAACAAGTGGGATCGAGGTGAACTGCAAACAGACCTCAGCAGGTCGGTAAACGCCGGGAATGCAAGCAGCCCTTTCACTGACGTGGCTCCAGATTTGACAGCTCCCAAAACGGGGCTGCCGGCGCCTGTGGGAGCCTGGATGCTTCTGGAAGGCCACAGCAATGGGGGCGGAGGTCAGCGGTTCCCCTGCAAGTTCTTGGCTGTTTCATGGGGAGATGAATTAATGCGCCCCTGAAACTGATAAGGTGCAACCAGACACACGGGCAAAAGGCTTGTAGAGGTGCCCGAGTTTGAAATCCAGCGAGGAGTATAAACCTCAACTACCACCGTTAGTGTCCTGGGCCCTGCTGTGGAGTCTCGACCTCCAGTCAGAACAGTTCTCTCAAACGTTCCTTGTGAGTTTTTCCAAATGTCATCTTTCCAAGTAGTAGCAGAGTTAGATCAAGCACTTGAAAAATGTCTTTCTCTCTCCAAGGAGAATGAGTGCTCTCACATTAAAATCTGCCATAGGGGTGAAGAATTTGACCCTTAAAAGGGCAAAAGGTTGCCAGGAAGTGTTCTATCATTAATAATTTTTAGCCATTTAAAAATGTAAAAATAAAAACCAGGGCGCCCGGCGGGGGGGGCTGGCTCAGTCGGTTATGTGTCAGATTCCTGCTCAGGTCATGATCTCGCGGTCTGTGGGTTCGGGCCCCGCGTTGGGCTCTGTGCTGACGGCTCAGAGCCTGGAGCCTGTTTCGGGTTCTCGGTCTCCCTCTGTCTCTGCCCCTTCTCTGCTCATGTTCTGTCTCTCTCAAGATAATAAATAAACCCTAAAAAGTAAAAATAAAAATGCACAAACCGTCCTGAGCTCCGGGGCCACACAAAACAGCCGCAGGCCGCATTTGGCCTTGGGGTGTAGCTCGCGGACCCCTGAGTGGGTGAAACTGGAGACCACAGGCCAGCGCTGGACCCGAGACGTGTGTGGGAATTCTCAGTATCAATGCTGAGTCCACACAGTGCCCTTCAGTCATGCCAACCTACCGCGTGTGTGTGCGTGTGTGATCTGTGTCCAGAACGTAAGCTGTGTAAGGAAAGCACTCAGTTGCTCCCCCGTGTGATACCGCTAGACCAGAAGCACGTCCGAGGAATGGAAAGACAGACGCCCCCCGGGGGGAGTGGCCAGCCAGGTCTGCGAGGGAGTCAGGCTGAAGTGACCTAGAGCAGGGTCCCCAGGGCAGGAGGGTGCCCGCCAGCCGGGCAAGGCAGGCAGAGAGCCTGGGGGGCTGTGGGTGGCTTACTTGGGCGGCTGTGATTGGCGTGAGGCTGACGGGAGGCGACACTGGGCACTCGGGAGGCAAGACCGTGGGGGCCCCGGGCAGCAGGCCCGGCAGGGATGAGCCATGAAGGCAGGGAGGGCGGTGATGAGCTTGGGTTTTACCCGTTAGGAGATCTTACCTTGATCCAGCTGAGAGATGGGGGTGTGAACGCGGGCTTCCTGCGGGGGGGGGGGGGGGGGCGGGGCGACAGGGACGTGGAGGAGGCCGACCTCACAGGGCTTGGGGCGCGGCCACGGGTGAGGCCCCTATCCCTGCCCGGTGGCTGGGTGAATTGACTAAGTATGGCAGGCTTCAGTGCCGTCCTCCAAATATGCCTGCTGTCCCTTGGGTGCCCCTCTGCTAACTTGGGGCTGGTTGTGGCTGGACCCCACTCGAGGACGCCTCTGCACGTCACCAGGCCCCGGAGCGAGCGAGGGCCGCACCAGCGGGGCACGGGCGCGCCCGCCTCCTGGGTACCCGCCGCTCAGCCCAGCCTGTCCTGGGTGGCAAACGAGGACCAGATTGGAGGAGGGGTGGGCTTTCGGAGAAGAATCTGCCCGAAGTTTGAGGCGTGGGAGAGTGTCTGGGCCGGAGGCGCAGACTGGAGTCGCAGCACAGGGGGGCTCTGAGGCCTGTGGGGATGAACGACAGCACCCAGGGGCACGGCCCAGGGACAAGAGGCTTCTGGGGGCAAGACCCCGCCAGGACGGGGTGGGTAGAGGAGCCCGTGCTCGGGGAGGGCAGCGTGGGCCTCCTAGAGCTTCCCTAACAAAGCACCGCACACCGGGCTCCTGAAACGCAGGCGTTGATCCTGTCCCCGTCTGGAGGCCCCAAGTCCAAACTCAAGGTGTCGGCAGGGCGGAGCTCTCTCCAAAGACTCGGAGAATCCCTCCCCCGCTGTTCTCATCCTCTGTGTCCCAGGAGCCCTTGGTGCATCCCGGCCCCCGCGTCCACCTCTGTCTCCACGTGGGCTCTCCTGGGCGCATCGGACAAAGACCCACCCATGGCGTACCTGAACTCCATCACACCTGCCAAGACCCCATTTCCAAATAAGGTCACATTCCTGGGGACGGGGTGGGGGGGGGGGACGGGGGGGATGGGACTCAGCCTATGTTTCTTGGGGAAACGGTTCAAGCCACGGCCAGCGGTCACCACGTCGTAACACGTTGCGGGGTCTGGGCCGTGATGTCTGGACTGGCTGAGAAAGGCATCAGGAAGGGGGAAGGGAAAGCGGCAGGTGTGTGGGGGGGGTGGGGGTCAGGATGAGAGAGGCCCTTGGCCTGTCCTTTGGAGCCTCGTGTGGTGACTCCACTTCCTTTCCTAAAACGGGGGGCTGGGGGCCACCTGGGTGGCTCAGTCGGTTAGGCATCCAACTCTTGATTTCAGCTCAGGTCATGATCTCACGGTTTGTGAGTTCGAGTCCCGCGTCGGGCTCTGCGCTGACAGTGTGGAGGCTGCTTGGGATCCTCTCTCTCTCTCTCTCTCTCTGCCCCTTCCTGCCTACTCGCTCTCTTTCTCTCTCAAAAATAAATAAACATTAAAAAAATAAAAACAAAACGAGGAACTGGATTTCAAAGGAGACCTTTAGGTGTCGGTGCAGGGGACGTCATGATGACCTTTGTGCCCTTCTCTTGCACAGAGGACGCCTCCTCCCTGTCAGGGGTCAGCACCTCCCTGTCCCACCACCGCCTGGCTCCCCCCGGGTCTCCTGTTCACCGAAAGGGTGGGGGAGAGGGGAGATGGCCAGCACACGAGTTTTAGAAAGTAGTTATTTGAAACACGTGGTTGGCTAACACACTGTGAGTGCGGAAATCCCGGGCACAGGCCTGGTCCCTCGGTTGTCACTGTGCCCCCTTCGTGGCAGGTGGGGTGCTGTGCTTTACTTCGAGGCAGCTGACGCTTAAAAGTCGGTCTCCCTGGCCCCATAAACATCAACGTTGCTGAGAAGGCAGCTGGCATCCCTGGCGGGCAACTTCTCACTGCAGAAGCCCAGGGGGGACACTTTGGTCAAAGAGCCTCTCCACTCAAAGTGCGGTGCAGGGCTATGGAGGACACCTGCGTTGGACGTGCGGAGTCCGGGGCGCAGCCCAGCCCCCCTCCGCCAGGACCTGCGCTTTCCGGAGACGCCAGGTGACCCGCCTGTGCCTTTTAGACCCACCGGGAAGCGCGGGGAGGTCCGAACCGGCAGCCTCTGCCTGGAGGCTAGAGCCTGGCTCCCCACCGCACCCCCCTTGCCCTCCACAGCAGAGCCCCCCTGAACAAGGCTGGTGACAGAGAAGCTTTGTTCCTAGTGTTTCCATGCCACGCCGTCCTCTCTTGTGTCCCTCATCACGAAGGCTGTCACTGGGGCTGAGTGCATGAGGAGCTATAAATAATTTGCATCGATGGAGAAGAGCTTTCCTGTGGGGGTGCAGACGTCCCATAACCCCAAGTGGCCATGATAGTCTTATGCAGTCATTGCTCCCAACCCACGGTCATCAATCATTTGCCTTTTATTTATTCATTCACTCATTCATAGACTCATTCATTCACTCATTCACTCATACACTCATTCATTCGCTCATT